CCACTTGCCTTCTCCCACGTGCTCCTCCTTAACCCAATAGCCTGAATGGGCTGGAGCTAGTTTGGGAGGCAATTAGATTAGAAATGGAGCTTGTCCACCGGGCTAAAGAGCACGCTGGATGTGCTCTTAGGTTTAGAATTGGTTTTTCCTACCTTTATGGCAATAGATCACATTCTTTTATTCTTTTTATTCTTTTTTTTAATACATTGATATTTTTACACTAGGAGAATCTCATGGATGACAAATTCGATACCAAATTAGATTGTCCATTGTGTGGCTTAGCCGAACTCCCCATCCTCCTGTTATTCCTTTTATTCTTTATTTTTATAAATCTTAAGAGAACCTCAACGATGCAAGGAAAAGCTTTATTAATCAATTCGAAAACATTTTAACGAAGGAGATGTAAAACCTGTGACCCCTACTAGAAACATTTTCAAAGAAAATAAAAATATCTCGAAAGAAGCTACTTTTTGGTGAAAGTAACTTCTAAGTTAGTTGTTAAGAGCATTCGTCCATGCACTCATCATTTTGTATTCGAATTCTCCTCCTGGTAATTTAAATGAATTTAATGCGGTTATCAAATTGTTTGTAAAAAAAAAAAAAAAAAAAAAAGGTTACTTTTGGTATGGCTCTTTTCTTCTTATGATATGATGTTAGAGTTCAATTGTTCATCAACAATTTATGGGTGGTTGGCTAAGCTTTGTTGCCAACTTGCTAGTTCAATTAAGAAATTTAAGGGTCTTAGCTAATGGGTTGGGGGCCATTTGGGCCTACAAGAATTTATTGTCTAGGACTTAGCACGTTTACTTGTTGATGGACTCCAGCATAATTTAGTGTTAATTGGACCTGGCTGACAATTTTGGGCCTTCTTTACCGTCACTAAAAACTACTTTCTAAAAGAAAAATAAATAAAATATTTCAATTTCTTATTTTGCCTACAAACTCATGAATATTTTATTCAATGGGAGAATTTGATAGCCCAAGCTTTACAAGCAGAGTCAAAATAGCCTCACACATCACCAGGGCTCTTTTTCTTTGTAGAATAAATCATCCATACATGATCAAGCTTCCTGTCCGGCCTGACCACAACTGAACCTGGAACTTCAGCGTCACGGCAGGTCACTAACCCGTCACTCTTCTCCCCGTACCAGAGTTGGAGGTGAAGTGCAGTCACAGCCATGGCAGCAGATAAAGGAATCACTACGGGCAGCTGATGCCCTGCTTGAATGATTTCATCTGACTCTTTGTTTCCAAAGTTTGGTAGGGGGAGCCAGGAAAGTTCTGCGTGTGCTATGTGTGTCATTGTGGCAAGGACGCCGGGAGCAATGCTGGCCTCAGGGTGGAAGGAAATCAGAGGAATTTGCTCTGCCGGGAGTTCGTGCTTCATGATGGACTCCTTTCGCTTCTTGTATGTAAGATCCTCCAATGCCCGAATGTCACCCTATGAGTGCAACAGAGAGCAATGAATAAACCCACATCAAAATGATTGAAAGAAAAACATTGAAGATGCATTTGGAAATTGAAAAGGGATGCTTATTAGGAAAGGTCTTGAAAACATCAAACATTGGATTGAGTTCACAAACTTCGACAAAGGGAAGCCTTAGATGTCTGTTTTGTAAAAAGTAGCTATTACCTTAATTAGCTTGCACATCGAGCTCCATGATCCAACAGGTTTCTTTGTCAGCAACCGGGCCTTCGCGAAACAAAATCAGAAGCCAAGGGAGTGCCACCGTATGGGCTTTGTACTAGTGCTAAACCAGCAACCTTGTCTTTCAAATCACCACTAGATTGACAATGCAGCTGCAGCATCCACACCTCCCTTGCTGTGCCCTAGCAGCATAACACGCTTACCAGATCCCCAGTAAAGCTCCTCTATATATTGCTTGAGTTCCCATGCATTGTGTGCAACATATGCCTTTGTACAAAGAAAACATATGAAAAAAGTAGACAAATATATTTTAAAAACATATAAACATGCAGTCATTCAAGAAAATTTTACAAGACAGGTCAATCTTAGTTTACAATGATCAGTAATCAAGCATTACCTCGCTGTGAATTTTTGCAATATGGCACGCTAAACCCATCTTCGAAAAGAATTTCTTCATTCCAACAAAGTACAAGGGGCCACGGTTGCTAAAGAGGCCTGAAAAATCGAAGTCCTGTAACTATAGGCGCAAATGAGCTAAATGTGCATTGAGCAAGGAAGAAGCACAAAATCAAAAGTCGGTGCAAAATAAATCTTCTATACCTGGAATTAGTAGATAAACAAATGAGCTGGGGAGTTTATGCTCTCCATTCCTGAAGTATGCAACATGACATACAAGCAATAAGAATATATAAATATAGGAAGACTAGTAAACACACTAATAAATTGAAGACAGTTCTTAACGATCCAACAGTCTAGTGCAGCCGAGCTTATTATATTAGTTTGGTACCTAATTCCTGCAAGCAATTCCAAAAATCTTGCTGTACCATCCTCCACACCAGGCATGCCGTGAGTGCGCTGCAACCCCCCAATATCATCGATGAGCCTGGCAATGATTTCTGTACTCGAGATGCAATGCCGACAAATGCAAAAATGAATGTTAACCTACGAGAACCTAATACAATGAACGATGACATGTAACTTACTCCAGGTAAAATAAAATCCAATCTGAATTAAAACTAAAAGAAACTATTTATAGACTATGGAATATGAATTCATCGGTTTGCAATTTTGTATAATTTAATCTGCTTGTTTACCTACAAAGTTGAAGATGAGTACATCTAACGTATGCCACAGAACATCTGCAAGAAGACATTGCCAACCTCCAGGCAAATTGTAAACCATGTAATGGCAGTACTAACCTTCATCAGTTCACTTAAAACTTAAAAGTAGATGGGATCATGACTTTTTCTCATAAATTGGACCAAATGGTATTACCCTTTAAAAATGAATGGAACAACTACATAACTGGAATTGGATGCTACAATTTCAGATCTAGTGTCTTCCCTGGGCTCTGATGCTCTTTCACAGATTCCAGGGTTTTGGCCGGAAGTACAAGGTTTTGAAGACGATGAACAACCTTCAGAAAATGAATTACAAACGCCGTGTCTCAATGATCTTAAAAGCTGTCCGGCAGAATTGACCAGCAAATCATCCGAGTATCTATCAGCATCTCTGCGCGTGAGATTCTCTGCAATAACGTCATTTCCAAATCCATCCATTATGTTATGAGAATATAACATTATGCATCAGTATACATGTAAGCGTAGAAAAAATTACTCACTGATAAATTGAACAAAGCGACGACTAATATAACTAGCCAATGTCAATAGATGGGTGAAAATGTCATCCATCGACGAATAGAATCCCAAGCTATCGAAAAGAAAACTCGTGTTCCTCACAGTAACATCATAGACCTGATACCATTAAATACAATGTTTGAATCAAACCTACACAAAACTACAGATAGATGCCAAAAATCAAACTTCAAAGAAATTAAAGCTCAATAAGTTAATTATAACTTTGTTGCTATTCTCAATATGGACCGGAAGTTGCTTCCGAGTTCAAACATGCTAATGTAGATTAGATGGCGGAATGGATTGAAGATTAAGTCGAAAGGCGCAAAAAGAATAGTTACAAACTTGCAATAGAGAAGAGATTACAAAATATACTCTCTCACAGAAAAAGTAGAGAACATCTGCAATAATGCAGAATTGTAAAGTTGAAACTACTTACTGTAACAGGCATTTCAGATATTTCATTTTCAAAAAACACATCGCCCATTAGCTCTTTGAATCCTGAATTTACAACAAGAAAACTTAAAAGTTTGGAACTTTGACACAATTAAGGTATAACAACAAAAAACCCAGATGAGCAAATCAAGCATATGAAACAAAAAACGCAACAAAACAACTTCATTCTTTCAAACAAAATTTAAGTAAAATATCAGAAACATATCAACTTATAAGCAAAGGAGCACGGTTAGAAAACCCCTGAAGCAGAAGCAAAGGCAATTCAGACTGTGGAATCAAGGGCAGTTGAATTTATAGAGGGAAAAAAAAATCAAGTTAATGAATGCGAAGGACATGAGAGAAGTGGATTCCTGGGAATGCTACCAACCGATCGAGAAAAGAGGGAGTCATGGGGGATATCTATATATTAACATTCATTGTCATTCAACAATCTTCTAATTTAATCCCAAGAGAAATGCTAAGGAGATTAAAAAATAACGTTCATTTTCGGATAAATATTTTGTGATAATATGCAAAAAATATGAGGTGGGGCCCACCAAAGTAGACGTCGATGTCTCTCAATGATAACTCGATCAAAATTCAAAGTAGAAAGCTCGCTTGTGTGTGAGAGGAGAAGAAACATGCGGCGTGGAAATAATTGAATACCTGAAAAAAAAAATTCAAACTATATACATTATGATACCAAGTGTCTCGGGTCGTGTTCCTAGTACCTTAAAAAATTTCTCGGCATGGAGATATGTCATTGCTGAATGAACCGTGCTGGGAATCCAAGTCAAACTGTCAGTTATGTTACGACTAACACGACTGCGGTCTCTAAGTTTATCACGCACGGACGTGATAGGACTGGGGAAATTCCACCATGCGTTCATGATTCATGCAAGTCCTTTTCGTTTGAGCAGCTTAAGTCATTTTTGGATTGTGGTTAATTTCGAGTAATTTTTCTGTGATGTCATACCATGAAGTAGGTTCATAACAAGCACAGCATATTGTGATTGTCGGGAGCAACTTACTTAGCACGGAACACTGCCATGCTGATTTATGTGCCGTGAAAGTACTCCTCGTGTCTGTCACGCTCTAAAGACTTATCTTTGGCACTTTCGTTTGGCTTGGTAATCACTATGCATACTTAACACAAAAAAAAAAAAAAAAAAGATAGCTTTCAGGGGTGAGTTTCTTGCTCGTAGTAAAAAGTAAGAATAGTTTGAGCTTCTGGGATTAGAAGAAAAATTATTTACGAAACAGGAAAATGTGAAATATGTAAGTGAAACTGGCAAAACAGAAGAAAAACTTTACTCACAGTTATTTCTTGGTGTAGCATTTAAACAGACTATTTCTACAACATCACAGGGAGAATAAAAAGCGACCGGAAACCGCCTCATTTCTATTTCATGAGCTAGCATCTCCACCTCTGCTTGTTGGGAAAATTCAGCAAAACTTACCGGAGTTTTATCTGAAAAACTCGGTTGTACCAAATCGAATGAAGTGTCATGTGGAAGAGATCATACTTGAGGGGTTTAGGATGCCACAGAAAATGTTTTTGAATCTTCCTGACCCCTAGTTGCAGCTGAAGATACTTCTCTTCTGGTATCGAAACAAGTATCTCTTTCAACTTTGGAATGTCTTTCTCTGCGAGAATTACAGAGAATGCCCCCCAATCCAAAACCTCGAAAAATGGCAGCACAAAGTTGTCAGATATGATCACAGGTACACACTCGTAAAATATTGCTTCAACCACTCGCGGGCTGTTGACCTCGAAACCCTTGGGGCATATACAGTATTTGCTGTCCTGCATGTGGTGGATGTAATTCATTTTGCTTGCAACACCAGGAGGCATTGGACCAAAGATCTTCATATCGGGGTCTTTGTCCTTCCAGTGCTCCAGCAGAATTGGACGTAAGTAGCCATGCATATTTCCAGCATAAAAGGCAAGAATCTCCCTCCGAGAAGGAGGTTTGCCTCCAAGATCTCTAAGGGGATTTCTTGCTGAACGAACATATGTTTCTGGAAGAGACACATCCCTTCCTATTTTGAAGCCAGAAGTTAGATCAGCATTGCAAAGCGCCTTGATGCAGAGTTCCATGTGGTGCCTTGTTTCATATGGAGCCTATAAAAGTCAAACTCGCATGTTAGAAAGGCAGGCACGCAGAGACACACGCATGTAAGAAATACATTCGTGTGGGCAGAAACAGTACCAATGTATAGACAGAACATATGGTACTCTACTTTTAAAAATGGTGCTTGGTCAGTTTAAACAAAGTCCAAAGTTCAGGACTGGTCAAGTAAACGATAAACCTCGCTGGCCATTATGATAGGATTTATTTTCAAGAGATTCTTGGCATTACTTCCTGAATCTCAAAACCATTGGTGGAATCCCATTTTACTATCTTAGTATCAATATCTTATCCCTAACAACGAAGCAGATATTAGTCACGCAGGAAAAAGTAAGAAAAAAGAAAGGTTCATGTAGAGCATACCCAGTCATGACAAGCAACAAGAAAATGATCTGCCCCACCAGTTCTGTTAAAATAAGGATACTTTGCTGCAATTGTTTCAGAATATTCCTTCAGAAATTGGCGTAGGTTTGTACGGTTGTGAGAGTTCCGTACGTATAGAGCGTACTCTAGCATCCGCGAACTAAATGGCATATAAAACAGATGAGCCTTGCGTGGATCCTTCACAAGAAAGCGCTTATATCCCTTCATCAGTTTCATGAACCATCCTTCTGAAGCATATAATCCCTTGAGTATTGGTTGATGAAAGATCGGCTTTTTTCCCTCCTTGTAGATATATATTTTCAGTGTGCGTTCCATAAGTTCATAACTCCTGAGAATGGAACAAAATGTTACTGTAAAAGGAATCACTTTCATTTAGCATTAAAAATTAATTTACCTCTTAAATTCAATTCCAACTACCTTTTAAACATGGAAACATTTCTAAAGAGAGGAGCATAAAGTTCTGGATCATTTATTGCAATAGGAGGACGCTCGATCCGTGACTTCGCAGCTAGAATCTCCTGGTCACGTACAGAGGGCCATCGTGGTTTCTACAATCAATGCAAGAAGTTAGGAACCCAAACAAATTGATTGGGGGGTGATTAGATTAGCAGCAGCAGCAATATCTTACTGGTGAATCAGAAGAAACACGCTTCCGCACTAGTATACGATTCATCTCAGATATTGATGTTATCGACTTTGGTGGCAAATCACTCTTCATCTTCTTCTTTCCAGGTCTGGCCATCACTAAACCATTTTTTGAAGCCACAACAACCCTTTTCAAGGAATAGAACCAACAGAAGTGCTTCTATTTTCTAACAAATTCACTGCAGGTAAAATGACTGGAGACGATGGAAAAGCAGTATCAAATTTTTTCGCTGTCACGGTTGAATTTTCTTTTGAAGCACCCACGCTAGTAATTTCAGAGTTCGGTAACACAATCTTCTCCAAATGGAAGCCATACCTAGTTTCATCAGCCTTGTCCAAAACAGTAACATTTTCTCGATTCTTAATGCTGACTAATGCTAGACTTTCATTTATGACTACAACATTCTCAGACGGAAAATCATCATCTACATTTCGATCAACGTCACTTTCAAAATTATTGTCTATTTCTTTTTCTTCTAACATTAAATCAATTTCCTTATATACATCCTTTCCCGTTGGTTCAGTACCCTGCCTAATTTCTCCTCCAAACATAGAAACATCAATTGAATCTGAAGTATTTACCGTTAGAGGATTGCGAACCATCATGGACTTGGCAGAAGAATGAACAGCGAGGACGCTACCTTTGACTTGCAATGTATCCTTACTCTGTGGCAATAGAGACCGAAGAGCGATTCCATAGGGAAGCAACAGCGACTGAAATGCTAAATAAGTAACAGACAGTACCCCCAAAAGTAAAAGCCACCTGCGGCTCCGGGATTCTATATTGCATAGCTTAGGAAATTGAAATGTGCACCCCATACCAGGTACTAATACTTGCAATGCAGATAATTCAGAGGCTACCGAAACATCTTAACAACGAAAATCACTCACTTGCATACCAAATCCTGCAAAAGTTCCCACAACAACACAAATTATGCACAATCAAAATCCAACAGTGCAGTTCATTAACAGTTAGATCAAAGTGCTGAAATCGGGGTCATAGCGAAAACCGAAACAAAGAGGTTGAAATTCACTGGTTATTAGCGCATTAGCCTTTCCAGAACACTCAAAATTAATCACAGAAAATAACAGTGAAATCTTGCTTAATAGAGCTTGTTAATTAAGGTTAATTAAACACTATACACATGAACATACATAGTCAGAACTTATTAATTAAGGCTAATCTCAACAATGCTAATCAGAATCCAAGCAATCCCAATGTAAAATTCAGTTACAATTAGATTAAAAGTTGCCTTCCCACCAAGCATTAGCAAAAAAGAAATGGTATTTCCTGTTTGGTTGCCGTGAAAATGAAAGATTTTGACTGACCTGAGAACAGTAAAGCACAAAACTTGAGGCTGGATTTTCTCGGAAGCCAAACAGAAAAACCCCAAAAACTGAGAAGTTGAAGCTTTTTGCAAAGAACACAAGGATCCAAAAGTGAAAACTTTGCAAAGAACACGGATTTTTCCTTTTTTAGGGGGAAGTAAGGAGAAGAACACGGACTTTCGGAATTCCGTTCGAAGAAGAAAGAGAGAGACTCTCTCATCAGTCACAGTCGCATCCAATTGCTATTTTGAAATAATCTTTTTTCTTAAATAAAATAAAATACTGGTTTTTCTGTGGCACTGTTCAGATTACCATTATTGGGGAAGAAAGAGAGAGACTCTCCCATCAGTCACAGTCGCATCCAATTGCCATTTTAAAATAATCTTTTTTCTTAAATAATAAAATACTGGTTTTTTATTTCCTTCTTTCTTTTGTATATTATTTTTTTATCTTATTATTTTAATAAAAAAATAATATAAAATATTAATACAGCTTAATTTTAACCATTCAAGTAGGCGAAGTGCGAAAAGAGCAATTTTAGGAAGGGAGAATCCTCCTCCCATTGTCTGTGCCAAAATTAATTTCTTCTGTCCATCCCGCTGAATAGTTAAACCTACAAGAAATGGATGAGTTTTACAAATATTTACTGCTCTTGTATATATTACTTGACTACTGAATGAAGAGTTGGATGTGCACCAAAAATTCAATAACTAAAGATTTAATTGGTAAGGATCTCTACAAAGTCATGATTTTATCGATTGAATGAAGATTAAGATGTGTGTCAAAGATTTAACATCTAAAAATCCAACGGTTAAACATCTACCCAACAATGAAAGATGTGTTTGTATCTTTGATTTTGTTTAAAATATTTTCATGTAAATTAAAGTAGTTTAAAATATCACTTGTTTAATTTGCCAAAACATACTCAACAGCAAAAATAGATGGTGACATCCCGACTATGTTAATGGTAAGGGTACACAAAAGTTTAAGACTCCCTTGCATTTTAGTCTCTTCCAATTCATGTTTGAACCAACGTCAGCAGTGGCCTTCGGATTCCAATGTTCCAAAATCTATGGGTTAGAGCAGCAGCAATAGCTGAAAGAAAAGATTATACATTTACTACTAAAACCCAGAAGAACAGAAAAGATTTATGATTTTAAAATTAAAATTTGAGAAGAAAAAAAAAATCCCATAAATTAAAAAAAAAAAGTAATGAAAAAGGGTTTGAAAATTTTGAGTTTTAATGATAAGGATAAAATAAAGGGTAAAGTGAATAGTACCAGAATTAATTTTTTTTATTGTAAAAATATGATTTTCCGTTAAAATAAACAGTATTATGAGTTTTTCGTTAAATTTTTTAAAATTTAAAGACTATACTGTTACTGCCACTACTTGGTCATATTGTCATCATCTTGGAATACTCTTACGCTGGAAGTGGAAGCAGTAGGGTACTGCTTTAAAATGCCCTTTCTGTTTCATAGTATTTACGGTAAAGCCAACTCTTTCGTCGTCCATGAGTTGTACGCACAGTGAAAACGTCGACAGTGGCGAAGAAACAGAGCACAGAGTGATGCAGATATTGATTTACGACACGTGGCATTTTGTTTGCGGAAGGTGAGGATCTGAGTATAACCACGGCACGCCGTTTAATCTCCTCCCTCTGCTTTGGCTGTTGGCGGTTAGATCTTCAAAACACAAAACGAATGAACACAATGTGAAAGAATTGATGATACAAGTCATGTGTTTTATACCTTGATAAAAATTGATTTGTTTGCATGATGTGTTACAATAAAACAAAAGTTATAATGCTTGTTTCAATTGATATTTTAGGTTAATTAAATAAGGCACTATATGTTTTTTGTTATGTGTATGCTATAATTTCATTTATTTGAGATATTAGAGTAAACTAAATTGCTTAATTTGAACATCGTTGTACCTGCATAACGACATGAGAGTACATAAAATTTTTCTCATGTCTGAAAACAATTCTTCTAACAAACATAACAAACAAACTAGGGGGCAATTAAAATTTGACCACTCTGTCATAAATATTTGTATTGATTCATTGTCTCAGTTTGAGACGGAAAGCAAATTGTCACAAATTTAGAAGGTTCTGAAAAAACTTGAGAATTATCTGGAGGGGGAGATGAATTGCGTTCACAACCAGAATTTCAACTAGAGTCTCCTATGCAAAAAAAATTTGTAGTCGTACACGTAGTTTACCCATTCCTAACGGACTACATCGATGTCATTTCTAGTTTAGTCTAGTTTGTAGTAAACATTAACACGTATTACTAATTAAGTTAGGAACTAACTCAACCAACTATGTAGATGCTTACTAAATATTATTACGAATTGTACACTTGATTACCTTTGTAGGGAAGTTGTCGAAATCTTCAATCAAATTCATGACATAATATCCACATTCGGCGTTGGAGTTGGACGAAAAATATAAAAATCAGCCAGTACAACTTTTTAAGGTCAATTCATCTCATATGACGAGTTTCATTGTAAATTGTATAAAGAAGAGGTACGAAAGGAATAGTGGTATTTTTTAGCCCGAAATTTGACGAATTCTTTTTGGAATCGACAATCAAAAAAAAACTATGTTTCTACCTTTTTCAATCAAATTGTCTTATTTTTCTTTTTGCTAAATTAAAAATAAAAGATTTCAAAGGTTCGGTTGTGTATACTAATTATGTTTGGGTAAATTTCAATTGAAAGGTTCTACTTTAATGTTATGTAATATTAAATGTTATGAGCATTGAATGATATGGATTCACGGTACCATAATAAAAACAATAATTCAAATTAATCTAGGACATACAATGCTCATTATATTTAATAACATTGAAGAATTTTACTAAGTAAGGGTGCCCAAAGAAATTGGATGTCCAAATATGTATTGGGTGTAAACAAATTTTCCCTACCAAAATGGTAAAGACTAGAATTCGAATTGTCTCATGAAATACTTTTACTAGGGTGCATTTTTGCTACCCACATTCTCTCGTGTATGTTACCCATCCTATTATAGCATGTTATGTGCCTCTCACTTAATCAGAGTTAACTGCAATATAAATTTTTGAAGAATTGAAGAAAATAAATTGTTGATGCACAAAATTGGGTTGATTTTGGACCAACTAAATCTGACCGTAAATCACACACACGCACTATAACACAATGATATATCGTGGTTCACCCTAAGTTGGGGCTATCTCCACACTAGTGTCAATATGGTTTCACTATGTACATTGAGGGTTATAATGTACATGGAGGCTATAGAGGCTAGGGTTTGCTCTCTTTGCCATCTTTTTCTATCCCCTAAAGTGAGGGTGAATGATCCCTTTTATATAATAATGTTTCATTCCCCTCTTACGTACATCATGAGCTAAGTAGTGAAGCTCAAATATTGACATCCAATATATGTTACTACATAAATTATACACAAACAAAAATAAAATGTAAGAAAACCAACAACCCCAACCCAAGCTCGTGAAATACACCCTTCTCTCCTTCCACTGTCTTCGACTCAACATCCACCACCGCCCCTATCACCCAACGGCGACAACCACCCACCTCGCCACCACCTTTTCATGGATTCTCTATGTGGCTACCCTCATGGCTTTCTGGCCTTTCACACATTGCATTTGATGAAAATTTTATGTTGTAAAAACTTAATATTTTGATCCAATTGAAATGTGTGAGACGCATAGATGTTTAGAAAATTAAAAGTTTTAAAATATTGAACATTCTTTAATTAATGTGTTGGTAATATGCTTAAATCGACAGAATTAAAGCAAACTAAACCGATCAACAACTATTTGGTTTGGTTCGATTGTAATGGAACAATGGAACCAAATCTGTTAATGCCAAATCGAATTAAACCGATCCACCCGATGGACATGGCCGTTGGCAGTTAGCGCCAAGTTAAACCTTAAACCTCTCTCTCTCTCTCTCTCTCAAATCTTGCCTGCAAAACTCAAACTTTGAAACGCCATGCTATCAGCTCCTGGGACGTCGTTTTCACTGATTTGCATCCAAAACCCAGCAAAATGACACTTTTCTGCTAAAAGTGTGAAGCTTTCGGCTTCAATTTGAGCAACCCAGCAAGAAATGGCGCTAAATTTGCCCACTTCCTGTCCCATTTTCGCGCCACTATTGAACCCGAGCCCGACCAACAACCCGAATCAGCACCGCCCCCCAACGGAGGTCCGCTTCGCTCGGTGGAATAATGCCAACGCCGAGAAATTCAACCAGCGCCGGAGGGCCCAGCAAGAAATCCAGGACGACATTCGCCGGGAGCGCCGATTCGAGTCCGCCACCAGAATTGCCACTCTTTCCGACTCTACCACTGACACCACAACCGCCGCGGCCAACGCCACCACGAGTAGTGAAACATATAAATCCATCGGCACGCCGTCGTATCCCTCGAGCCCTTCAATCCAAGGCAAGAAATCCAAGTACTCTAAAAACCCAAACCCTACCGATTCGCACCCCGCATTCCGCCGAATCATACGACCCACGAAGCTCTCGAAAATCCCGAGGGAGAAAAAACCGGCAGTCGACAGAAAAGCCGACATTTCCATCGGCGACGATGGGCTTTCTTACGTCATCGACGGAGCCCCGTTTGAATTCAAGTACAGCTACACCGAGACCCCTAAAATCAAGCCCATTAAGCTCCGGGAACCGCCGTTCGCGCCATTCGGGCCCACCACGATGGACCGGCCATGGACGGGTCGGGCCCCATTGCCGGCGAGCAAGAAGAAATTGAAGGAATTCGACTCGTTCCAGCTGCCTCCGCCGCACAAGAAGGGGGTTAAGCCGGTGCAATCTCCGGGTCCGTATTTGCCCGGATCGGGTCCTAAGTATGTGAAGTCCAGGGAGGAGATTTTGGGTGATCCCCTGACGGTTGAGGAAGTTAAGGAGCTAGTTAAGGGTGCATCAAAACCAAGAGGCAGTTAAATATGGGTATATCTAGAGATAATCTTCTTCCCTTGTTTTTACAGCCTTCATTTGAGATATTATTCATGCTTGGTGAGATTGTGGAACTGGAGAGAGTTTCGATTTGGGTTTTCGATGATGAAAGTTTTCGACTTTAGAACTTCGAAATGCAGGGAACTAGTAGGAAAGGTTATGAGTTTTTGGTTTGTGATTCAGTTCATTTGGATTTTGTAGGTAGAGATGGTTTGACTCACAACATGTTGGATAACATACATGCTCACTGGAAGCGCCGTAGAGTGTGCAAGATTAAATGCAAAGGAGTTTGTACAGTCGACATGGAGAACGTGTCCGAGCAATTAGAAGTTGGTTTCTCCTTGCTGAATGGATAT